GGGGGGCAAGTGGGCTATCTGGCCCGAGCAAAGAGCCGGCCCGCGGTGGGCTGTTTCTGCAGGAATGCGAAAAGTGCAAAAAGGATCACCAGGTATACGGGTTCAGGTACTAAAAGTGCTCAACCTTGCACCTTCCTGGAGCGTCGCGCCCTTCTTGTGGCAGTTGGTAGGTAGCCTTTGCTTAAGCCCGCTCGCCGCCCATCGCGCATATATGACCGCTCCGGCCGGACCGCGCAGCGGGACGTCACGCCGTCACGGTCACGACCGCGCGCGTCTCGGGCTTCCCTGTTTGGGGACGTGTCACATCGGGGGCCTTGGGGGTGACCGATGACGTCCCCCTCCCCCTGCGGCGCCGGCCACCACCGCCATACTATACTACGCTGTTTTGTGATGGGCCTTGGCAATGCGTAAGCGCGCGCGGGAGAAGGAGGAGCATGATGACAGTGCTCGTCCGCGTTTAAGTCATATCTATTTAAGTGGCAGCGGGTCCAGCAGCTATATAAACGCCGCCCGTCCAGAGCCTCTTCTGGTGTCCGTGGACTCTGCCGCTCATCATTAGCTCCGGGCCCGCGGCGGGGGGCCGTCGGCAAGGCACGAGACGGCATTCTTACCGATATTCCTACTGAAACGGATCGAAACAAAGGCAACATGACTTTGTACGTACTTACTTGCGTACGACTGGTCGAGCCGGAAACGTTCTCGACGGTGAGGGAAACCGTGATATCGCTGTCTGCCACCACGGCCCTCGCGGCCTCCGTAATGTGTTACGCTCGTATTGAAAAGATAAGAAAGGCCTTGACCGTCAAATGAGTGTGTGTGTGTGTGTGTGTGCGTGTCATACAGGACCTGGAAAGTCTATGCGTCTGTTCACTGTCCGTTTTAAACAAACTACTGAAACGCGCCCACAAAATCGTCGTTCGTCGTCCTCCTCGGCTGGCAATAACGCCAGTGCGCGCAGCGCAGACCTCGGCACAGACACCTACTCACCTACTCATTGAGGCGCGAAATAATACCTTCCGCCGTCTGCCGGGCGGGAAGCGGGGTGGGCTGGGGAGGGGTGAACATCCCCCTCATCCATTCCACCTGATCCTTCAGTCCTAACCCC